TGTGATTTGCCATCTTTCTGCTGGCTGGATTGCATGTCACTGCTCATGGTAACAGCTGGTGGTGCTCTCAGTGCACAGCTGCTCCACCACCTACAAGTCCCCAAGGTCCTGTCTCCATAGCCTGGGTGCTAGAGTGCTAGTCTATGGGGGCTCTAATCTTGGCCCCTGATCCTTTGGTTGCATTTGGTTAGCAGAACTTAAGGAGCACAAACATGCCTGATTTGTAACCAGGAGGACAGAGCTCCTTGACTATATGGAGCCTCCCTGGGTATCTGAGGTCAGTCTATATCACCTTCATCTCCCGTAGGCCTCCATTTCCGACGTTACCTAAGCATACTTTGTTCATCCCCAGCTCTCCAGGGTGAATGGCTGCACCCAAAGGGAGTTGGATGGAAAGATCCAGGTCAGATGGAAAGAGATTTCTTCAGAATGTCTTGGCCCAGTTAATGACTGTGGTAGCTATGGAGACAAAGGCTTAGATGATATATGTTTATCAAATTGGGGTAATGACCCAGGACTGAGAAGAGTTAGTGATTAACAAGGTCAAAGGTCAAAGCTACCTGGTTAGACTAGAAAGATGGGGCCAAATTACATCGGATGACTCTTGAGGTGGACAACTTCCCTCCACCCAATTGCATCCTACCACACTGCATTTGTATGAGAGAAGCCTTTACACTAAGGAGGCACAGAGCCGGGAAATGTCTTCTATTCCACTGCCTGGGGGGAGTGCGGTACTGAGACAGTCTGGAGCACTCCACAGAAAGCCCAGGAAATCAAAGTGAGGCTGAGCCAGGCACCTGATATCACTGGGGCTGAGTTAAATAGGCCCTGGGTTCTCAGGCCTGCTCTTTGCAGTTGAGAATGACCCTGCACAGTGCTGATCCAGCCTCACGAGGGACAGTGAAACATTAGAGACTCAGCCAGCCATGCTTTTATCTGCATACACAATGCCTGCACCACAGTCTCAATGGCCATGCATTCTGGATTGGATAAATCTGTTTCAAGCTGGTTTTATCTATGCTTCACAGAGAAAGGAGGAGATTCAGGTCCTGATCATGTCTGAGTATACACAAGTGAGATAACTGGTGTGTAGCATCCCTCTAGGTTGGGTCTTTCTTAGCTGGATGTGCTGTAACTGACAGCTCAGGGCATCCTGACCCATGGAGCAGGTTGCTGCTGTGGCCTGGGAGGAAGATGTACATGCCTTGAAGTGAGATGGTCCCAGAACAGGAGGAGGACACAGACAGCTAAGGCAGGGGCTGATTTGGTCTTGGTGCCCCTGGCCCTAGAAGTATGGGCAGAAAGCAGTCAAGGGTAGCGACTGAGTGGTAGGGCTAAGGGGTGATAAGGAAAGAGAAGGTCTCTGAAAGGAGTTGAGTGTGCTTTGGATCATGTTGAGGGCTTGCTCAGTGGTGTCACGTCCTGGCAGTCTGTGAGCTCTTGGAAGCTCTTGTGTGGGGAACAGACTAGAGTCTGAGGACTGGGAACTGCTCATATTAACCGGAAGCTATGGTCAGGCAGTTAGCTGGATGACCCAGGCCTTGTGGAAATGGAGAATGTCTAACTGGGGGCTCCGGGAAGCAGCCAACTTCCTAGAAGTGCCCAGAAGGTTGAGGGCACAGAGGAGGCTCGAGGCAGAGGGGTACAGGGATGCAATGTGGGAGAGCTCTGATGGGTTTGATGGACCTAGAGTGATCAGGGGAGTGGCCACTATTTGGTCCCTGGTAGCTTCTGAGCAGATGGATGGAGGAGTAGGCAGGGCACTGGAGAAGCCTGATGTGGAGGCTCATGGAGGACCGTCTTCTATAATGTCGGAGAGGAAGTCAACAGGCTCTAGGTGGGAGGAAGAACTAGAGGAGAGAACACCCTACCCAGGACATCCGAGCATGTGGCAGTCCTGGCAAAGGAATCAGGAGCAGTGAAGGAGCAAGGAGAGGGAATCACTGGCCAGCTGAGCTGTGTGGGGCAACTGGGGTGACAGAAAGGAGCAGGGGCTGTGGTGTCTGGTCTGTGCTCAGGGAGGGGAATGCAGAACTGAAGGTCTGCCAGTGGCTTGGCTGGACATGGCCAAGGCCTTCACTCTTCCCCACCCAAACCCTTCTTTCCTCACTCTTCTCAATGCCTCCAGCAATATGAGTTCCACGGGGTTTTGGGAACCAGCTCGCCAAGGGTATTCTCAAGAGTCAAGACCTCTGGAAATGGAGCCTCAGCGGTTCTCAGAAAGCAGCTTCTGGGCTGGGGAGATGGTTCAGTGGGTAAACTTTCTGTGTAAGCATGAAGACCTATTTTGGATCCTCAGAACCCATGGAAAAGTCTGGTACAGTGGTGAACACCTGTAACCTCATGGCTGGGGGTTGGAGGGGGGCAGATACAGGAGGCTCCTGGGGACTTGATGGTCAGTCAAACTAAAATGATAGACTTCAGGTTCCAGCTGTCTCAAAAGTCATAAGGTGGAGAGAAGCAGAGGAGAAATACTCAGATATCAACGTCTGGTCTTCACACATGGATGGAGTCATGCACCTATTCACATACACACACAAAACGGGCATGCATGTACCACCACCATCACACACACACACACACACACACACACACACACACACACACACACACACACAGAGAGAGAGAGAGAGAGAGAGAGAGAGAGAGAGACAGAGACAGAGAGAGACAGAGAGAGACTGAGACTGAGACTGAGACTGAGACTGAGACTGAGACTGAGACTGAGACTGAGAATGCTCAGTTGATAGAGTGCTTTTTATGAAGCCTGGTGCCTGGAGTTTGATCCCAGGACCCAAGTTAAGCTGGGAGGAGAGAATAGTCTCCGTGAAGCTATCCTCTGACTTCCACATGCATGCCATGGCACATCCTCTTTCTAAAACGCAACAGTGTAAATATCTTTCTGGTGTCCTTTCCAGGTGTGGGGAGCTGAGGGTCCTCACACACCCTCCAACTTCCTAAGGGGCCACACACTGGTGACCCAGTCCTGCCTCCCCACTCTTGGGTTTCATGTCAACCCTCGCTATTGATGGATAGTTCTCACTGCTCACTCTGACCTTGGCATTTCTGGAGCAGATGAGGATGGCTACCTTCTCAACCCCCACCCCCAACCCCATGTCCAAACATGGCCATTTGGCAGAAACACACTTAAAAGACAGGAGGTGCGAGTGTGTGAGCAACCTCCCAGTGTTTTCTGGAGTTCTGGGGACAGGATCTTTGCCAGAAGGTGTCTAGAAAGACTCAGTAAGGTACAACATCCTCTCTGGTCCTGGCTTCTGTCCTTGCAGCCTGAGATGGCTCTGGATCCCAAACCTCTACGGGAGACCTGGCTTTGCAACAAGGTGATTCCCCATAGTCTTGGCTACTCCAATCTTACAGGTATCTGCTTGAGAGATAATCGTGGGTGAGCAGGATGGCTCACACAGCTCTGGGATTACTGGCCTCTGCTACCTCTCATTTGGCCTCCTCCAGGAAGAGGAGACAGCGTTCATCATGAGGACAATAACAAAGGCTAGTACTTGACTGCCCAGGTAGGCTCCTGGGTTCAAATCCTAGTTCTCTGTGTACCAGCAGAGAAACTGTGGGCACACTTTTTAAATATTTAAATTTCCACTTTTGTTTGCACCCCTTCTGATGGTGCATGCTACCAAAAGAGTTTAAATGAGTTGATTAGAAGTCTCCATACTGTTCCAGTGTAGTGTTTGAGCCCTTGTTCCTTCTGGCAGACAGCCCCTGGCTCCTGTCTACTCAGATCATCCTCCATCCCGGGTCTGTGTGGGGAGCAGGCAGACAGGAGACAGTACACCCCTGGACTCCCTGCCTCCAGGCAGGGAAGGCGGAATGTGCGTGTGTTGGAGCAGAGTTGATCCGTGAAGCAGACCCTGGAATGCACTGGCTCATCGGCTCAATCCCAGATGGAAATACATGAACAGGCTTTATAAACAAAGGCAACGTGTTAAAAAGAGAACAAACCAGTGAGCCGGCCTGAACTGGAACCAGAGCTCTGGATTTTCTGATGATTTTCTTTCAATCTAAACAGAGCCTTTCCCTCCTCACTCCAGAGCCCAGACTCTCCTCCAGACCTGGATGCTGGTGGCTGCCTCCGCCACCCTCTCCTGCAGCTCTGCCACGTGCCGGCAACCTGCAGCTGTGCAGAATTCTTTCAGCTGCTAGAAACTTCTTTTGAGATGCCAGCTGACTGATTGTGAGTTGTGAAGGAGAACATGCCCTTGGCCATTGAGAAAGTCAGAGTTTAGTAGGCCCATTTCCCCCTGGATTCAGGGCATGTGACTTTGTGTGTGAGAGTTGAGGCACACAATGGGAAGACCCCTGAGAACTCCAGCTAACTGACAGGGTACATGTGTGCAGCTTCTATGTGAGGCCCAGCATCCCTACACTTCTCCCCTTGCCTCTCCCCCCAGTCTTGGGCAGAAATCATCTCAGAAGGGCAGGTGGAATCTCACCTTTGGACCCAACTCCAGCCCTCTGAGGTCCCCATTTCTAGTGTTCCGAGTCTTTGTTCTTCTCTCTTCCCCTCTGACTGGTCAGACAAGCATGACTGGGGCTCCCTTAGCCTCACCTCCACCTTCTCAGCACGTGTTCCTCTGAGACCCCCTCTCTTCATGGGCCTGACCCAGCTGAAGTGGACCCCTCCCAGGCATCAATTCTCTTGACCAACAGAGCCCAACAATCAGTGGGAAAGCAAAGTTAGGCAGCCCTGGGTCTGTCTCGGCAGGGTTTGGGATGGCACATATGCCCTTCTCTCCCTCTGTGCCTCCCCAGCTATCTTCATATCTCCAGCTCTAGGCTGAGCAGCTCCCAGCCTGTGTTTGTCCCTATACCCTTCTCCTCTGCCAATGACAAAAATGACTCTTTGGCAAGAGGCAGCCCTTCACAGTCCTCCCAGCTTTACCCCAGCTTCTTGCTTCTGTATATCTTACAAGCCTTCTGCATTTAGTCACTGCTGTGATCAAAGACATGATAAAAGCAACTTCAGGCAGGCAGGCAGGCAGGCAGGCTTTATTTCACTTCATGACTGGAGGCTCAGCCCATTATAGAGGGGAAGTCATGGCAGTCTGAGCCCGAGGTGGCTGACCACCTTGTGTCTGTAATCAAGAAACAGTTGAAAGCTAATGCTCAGCTCACTTGCTCCTTTGCAATTTGTCCAGGACCCCGGCCCATGGAGCGGTACTGCCCACATTGAGAATGGTCTTCTCTCCTCAGGTGACCTATCTAAAAATCCCTCACAGATAATTTTAAGTTTTGTCAAATTGACAATATTAACTATCACATTCTCCAAGTCCCATGGAACCTTCTGGTCAACATCCACCGTCCCCATCACAGGCTGTTCAAGTGTGGGTCTCAGCCACTCAGAAAGGCATAGCACAGGAATTCTCTAGGCCTATGCCCGCAGACTCTCTGAAAATGGGAAGTTAGCAGTTAGCAGTGAAGCAGCTGCTTGGATCGTGGATTCTGGAAGTGCTGACTTTGGGAACCTTGAGCTATATGAAGATAACTGGTGGCAGCTGTCTCTCCTGTCCCACCCCTGCAAAGCTCAGTGGTCACAAAGGAAGCCAGCTGCCTTCTTTCCCAGGCCATCCCCAGGCCATCGAACCATGAGATGGCCTACTTGCAGGTGTGGGGCACCGAACTCCTCAGCAATCCAGCGGCTTTCCTTCAGATGAAGTCTTCAGGCAGCAAGCAGCAGATGGGAGGTCTGGGTGGAATTTGTCTCTGAGGGAGCCTCACCCTGAGGCAACAGCATGTCCCCTACTTCCCAGGGGTTCATGTGAGAATTAGTTGTCTTCTGGAAAGAGGCACTTATGTGACTCCTGGGTGAAAGACCAACTGCTCATCAATTTCTGAGGCAGCAGTGACCATGGCTGTTGTCCTCCAAGACAGCATTGTTTCCCATGAAGCTGTATTTTTGCACACCCACACTCCACACTGTGGACATGTTGAGGGAAAGCTGTCAGTCATAGGCAGGGAGAAGATTGATGGTGGAAGAGTGCCTGGTTGAGCTTCTGGCCTTGATGTCTTGGCACCATGTTCAAAACCCAGAAGCCCAAACCCTGGAGGCTACCATTCCACAGCCCTTCTGCCTTGAGACCCATCTGGCTGTAACCCTGATGTAATCACTCCTTGGGGCCAGAACTAGTGTGATTACTGTGGTTACTAGCAGCCTGGTGAGTAGCAGAACAATGCATGACTCAGCCCTCTATGCTTCTGTTGTGGGTTCTAATTTTAGGCCATTGTTCCATTCCTCTCTGATTTTCCCAGAATCCTAAGGGGTGTTGAGGCCAGCTGGCCAAGATAGAGACCAAGAAAGGCTGAGGAGAGGCAGAGGAGAGAGACAGGATACAGCCACTTGCTCTAGGGTATAGAGTAGGAGTAGGGGCATAGACAGACCTTGGAGGCTTTGAAAAAAGCGGGCCTTTTCTAACCAGGATCTTTCTTCTGGCCTTCAAAACAACCCGAGGACTGAGAATTTGGTGCTATGATGCTCAAATTCTTTCTGATGATTCAAGTCTGTCATCTGAGCTACAGGAGATGATCTGAGAGCCCAAAGATGTGAGTCACTTGGACTTTCAGGGGAGTGAAAAGCAAGCCTCGGGGAAGCAAGAAGACCCCTGAGCCCTAAAGTGTATGTGCACCCCCTGCCTGTCAGTCCTAAGCTAAGGGAGTGAGGGATGAAAAACTGCTTTCAGGTCCTAAGATCATCCACATTTTTTTTCTAAGTGCTCTGCAACTGTCTAATTCCATGCATGGTCCAAACATGAGAGTGGCCATTAGAGGAGGCTCATTAAGCTAGAATCAATCCAGGGTTCTTCCTTCTCAGATTCCTTTTGTAATTCTTATTGGTTAGGGCTGATGAAGAGAGGGCTCAATGTGGAATCCTGCTGCCTGGGTCTCAGAACTCACATGATTCTAGAAGTTTCTGCACAGTCCACCTTTTTCTAGTGGAGAACATGGTATATGAGTTGTAGGTCCTATACACACACACACACACACACACACACCCACACACACACACACACCACAGAACACACATGCATAGAGCTGGGCCAAGTTCCCTCCTTGCCTTGTGAATAACACTTACATAGCCATGGCCCTGCCGGAAACCAGCTTGAACTTCCTTAGGAGCCACCAATCTTCTCTTGGCTTCCCCTGCTCCCTTCCTTCCCTGAGTTGGTTAGTTAGGGAAGAACAGAAAGAACAGAGTCAAGTAGAAATCCAACAGCCTCAGCTCACCAACTCCACCCCTAGATGGTTGAATCACGTTGTCTGGTTTCTGGTTTTCTTTAAGCCTTGGTTTTCCTGGAAGTCTGAATTTCCTTTCCTCTGGCTACAGAGGGCAGAAGAGCTCTGAAAGGCCCTGACTGCCACTCTTGGCCCTTGGATGGGTTTTCCTACAAATGAAAACATCACATTTCCTTGTCTGGCTCAAGCAGAGAGGCACAGAGAACTGGGCACCCCAGAACCACACAAGGGCTCTTGGGGCCCATGTCCTTTTGCTTCTTCCTGGTTCTCTCCTGCGATGGTTAGTCTCAGTCATCAACTCAATGAGACTCTCTGGGTGCACCTCAGGGGAATTATTCTGATTAGGTTGAGGTGGAAAAATCCACTCACCATGGGCAGCACCATTCCCTAGGCTGGAATCAGGATTGTATAATAGGGGAAAGTGAGCTGAGTCCAAGGAGATATTGCTCTTCTTCTTGATTGTATACAATGTGGCCAGGTGCTTCCAGCTTCTGCAGGCTTGACTTTCCCACCGTGACAGACTGACTGTACTTCAGACTGTGAGCAGTAACAAATCCCTCTCTAAGCGGCTTTTGTCAACTTGTTTTTCTCTCAGCAACAGAAAGGTAACTGTACTGGATAGTTTTGTGTCAACTTGACACAAAGTCATCCAAGAAGAAGAAACCTCAATTAAGAAAATGCCTGTCTGTAGGCAGGCCAGTAAGGCATTTTCTTAATTAATGATTGATGGGGAAGAGCTTAGCCCATTGCAGTTGGTGTCATGCCTGGACTGGTGGTCTTGGGTTCTATAAGAAAGCAGGCTGAGAAAGTCATGAGGAGCAAGCCAGTAAGCAGCACTCCTCCATGGCCTCTGCATCAGCTCCTGCCTCCAGGTTCCTGCTCTGCTTGAGTTCCTGTCCTGACTTCCTTTGATGATGAATAGTGATATGGAAGTACAAGCCAACTAAACTCTTTCTTCTCCAAGTTGCTTTGGGTCATGGTGTTTCATCACAGCAATAGAAGCCTAAGACATCTTCCTTGAGTTTAGGGACTCTGCTAAACAGCAAGCCTTCTTCATCTTTTTGGGTCAACTTTAGGGTTCCTTTTATTTACTTCAGCTCCTCATATTCTTTACCATCTATCATCTTCTCCCACACAAATAAGAAACATTATGTCTCTCATGAAAATATAGTCCCTGTCATGTCAACACAAATGCTCTGGCCCAAGTGATCAGGCTCAGTTCTTTATTAAAGAGTAAAACATTGCCCCCAAACTCCAGAGACTTAAAAAGGCACTGTTTTATTATACCTCACATTTTATGGGTCAGTACTTGATAGGACTCAGGTTGACAATTCCACTCCTGTGGTACCCACTGAAGTTATTCAGTAGACACATCTCATGAAGGCTGTTGGGGAGAGCTTGGAGTGGCTACACTCATCAGGTGCTCCCGGATGACTTCATCAGAGCAGATGTTCCCTGGGTACAGGCTGGGTTCTGCTCTGTCAGCCAGAGTACTTCCAGGGGGCTGTCCCAGAGTGGGAGTCTTAGGGCAGGTGTCTGGTCCTCAGTCTGAGAGGACTCATCCTACATACAAGAGGCAGGATTTGATTCCATTTTGATGGAAGACTATTAAAGCCTTTCAGTTATTTTCTCAACCATCCTGTCATTCAGGATTTGATCTAAAGATCAATCTTTTGATTATGAACTACTGACTTCTAGGCCCTCAATGGGCTTTGACTCTCCCAGAAAGATGGAATTCTCTCAGGGAGGGAGGGGAGAAAGGACATGACTGTACTGTAGTCTACAGGAGAGGCCCCAGGAACTGGAATTGATCAAGCATCAGGCTGACATGTCATCCATGAACTGTTTTCTAGGCTTCAGGTATAGTCACACTTTGAAATACCAGCTCAGGAACTGTGTGCAGGAGTTAGCTTTAGCTAACTTTAGCTTTAGCTTTAGACACATCCTGGACTCACCTGAGAAGGGAGGCTCAATAGAAGGGTTGTTTGGATCAGAAGACCCTTGGACATGTCTGTTCCTCTTGATTATTAATTGAGGTAGGGGACACCAGACCACTGTGGTGGCATCATCCCCTGGATGGGTGGTTTGGGACTGTATAAGAAAACAAGCTAAGCCAGGCGATGGTGGTGTGCGCCTTTAATCCCAGTACTTGGGAGGCAGAGGCAGGCAGATCTCTGTGAGTTTGAGGCCAGACTGGTCTGCAAGAGCTAGTTCCAGGACAGCCTCCAAAGCCACAGAGAAACCCTGTCTGGAAAACAAACAAACAAACAAGCAAAAAAGAAAGCAAGCTAAGTGTCATTCTACTACCCGCCTATCAAACAGCATCCACCATGGTTCCTGTTGTGCTTCCTTGGCTGTGGGTGAGTTCTGTGCTTAGAGGCAGTGCTGTGTGGAATAGCAAACAGGTCTGCCTTTGAACTCCTGCCTTAACATCCCCCAGTGATGGACTGTAACCTGTGAGCTGAAATAAACCCTTTTCTTCCTGATGATGCTTTTGGCCATGATGTTTGTCACAGCAATGTAATGAAGCTAGAATGAGGAACTTTTTCCAGTTTAGGGAATAGAAGGCACTCGGGTACTGAGAGGTGATGTACAGGAGTGCAGAGTTGGAGTGGGACAGAGAACACAGTCTTCCTGGAACGGACTTGAAACCATAGCTTAGTAGCCTCAGGCTTGCACGGGGCTGACATAACTAATGTCAGTAATCAGCATTGCTCAAACATATTAATAACACTGATAACCAGAAATACTCAAATATATTAAAATTCACACTGATAATCAATAAAACCCATTTCATTCTCTTCAGCATCCTTCTTCATATGTTGACAACCCTTTGCTGTCTGCCCCTTTTGAAGAGTGGAATGTTGAAAATATGCTTGGAAATCAGACTGTGTGGATGAAGTTTGTTGACTGTAGGTGACATCTGAGGGCCACATGGCTGGGCTGATTTCTTAGATGCCAGTCACTGTCGGTATCAATGTCTTTTCTTTGGATGGTGAGTTAGCAAAGGAGGTACCCACAGTCTCCAATTTCAGCATAAAACCTGCTGTAAGAGTGTGGAGCTGGGTAGGGAGGGCATTCTCCATTTTACCAGATACCCTTCTCTGTAGTGTGGAACCTGTCTGTCATGCTCACAGCATTTCAGCTTCCTATTATTCAGAGGGGGATCTGATGCTTTCTCCTGGCTTCCACAGGCATCAGACATGCTACCAAGATCTCTGCTCTGGATATTCATGGAGGCAGGCCAGTAACAGCTCAGCCAGCTTGAGTATCAGCCTCCAAGGACCCTCAAGTATGGTGGCCTCTTTCATTTGAAGGGATGTGGAGGGTGCAGAGGCTTGGATCTTGTTGAGCAGTGGTGCGAGTCCAACAGTTTGAAATTCTGTTATGAGACTGGCCAGGTAGACTTTCCTTGGGGAAGGAAGACCGGGGAAGAGTGGCATCAGGCTGATAGCACTGTCCCAAAGAGAATACTCAATGTGAAAGAAGGGAGGTGGCATGTCAGTGGACAGGTCATGCTTGCTGCCACAGCTGCCCAGATACCATTGGACCCAAGTGGAAATTATCTTCCTACGTGGACTTCTAGAAGGCAAGCTCATCCAAAATATGGTTGTATTTTACAGTCATTGTGTGTGTGTGTGTGTGTGTGTGTGTGTGTGTGTGTATGTGTAAGCCACAATGTATGAGTAGACTCAGGCACATCCTGTAGGAGTCCATTTTCTTCTTCTACCACATGGGTTCGGGGGATCAAACTCAGGTTCCTTTACTCTCTGAGGAATCTCATTGGCCCAAGAACCACTGATATTATGGGAGGCATAGCAAGGCCATCTTCCTTGTGAAATAAGTAGACAGGTTATCTCATGTAGTTTAAGGTATTAGGGGGTGTGGCCTTGTTAGAGGAGTTATGTCACTGGAGGTGGGCTTTGAGGTTTCAAAAACCTATGACAAGCCCAGTCTCTCTCTCTCTCTCTCTCTCTCTCTCTCTCTCTCTCTCTCTCTGCCTGCCTGCTGTCTACAGATCTCGGCTACTGTCCCAGCACCCTTGTCTGCCTGCATGCCACCATGCTCCCTGCCATGATAATAATAGACTAACCCTCTGAAACTGTAAGCAAGTCCCAAGTTTATTCTTTCTTTTAAAAGCTGCCTTGGTCATAGCGTCTCCTCACAGCAATAGAACACTAAGTAAGACATCTTGGGATTTATGAAAATTCCTCTTTGAGGGCTAGTCTGACAGAACTGGGATGATAATGTGGAGTTGGGTTACAGGCATAGGGGAAAAAGGAGAACCTCCATGCCATAAGGATTCTAGAATGTGAGACAGGCAGAGAAGATGGGAGAGAGGTGCTGTGGCCTACACTCTGAGGGGTTATCGTAGATGTCACCATTTCATGGAGGTAAGAGGTCCAATGGCTCAGTCTTAAGGAACAGCTGTCATGGCAACATAATTCTCTCCATGGATCCCATGGTACTCATCTAAGCCATCCTCTGGTCAACTGGGAAAAAGGTAACAGGAGCAAGTACCAGACACGTCTGCTTTCTCCAGGACTATTCGAAGGGGAGCCAACACACAAACAATTGTTGACAGGCTCTGTTATCAATCTTAGTCCAGGGCTGAAATGCAAAACTGCTGTGTGCGCAAGGCGAAGCCACCAGACGCATGAGTCAATTCGCCTGCTTTAAACCAGGGCTCAGGAACAAGAAAATGTACTTCACTTAACCCAGTTCAGACAAAGAAATATTCCACAATCCTAGTGAGATAAGGAGGGCTCATCCAAAGCTAGACTTCAGTGGAAATGAATCTACCTTTGGAACTTGGGATGTGAATGGGCTTCTCTGCTAGCAGGACCCACACTAAGTTTTTTTCACATGGGTGCCATGGATTCAAACTCAGGACCTCATGATTTTGAAGTGCTCTTATCCAATGAACCATCTTCCCAGCTCCAAGAATCAAACTCTTTAGAGAATTAACAAAAGCAAAATATAATTAACAACAACAACAACAGTAACAAATTTAAATAATAACCTGGACCCAAACCTTGGTTACTGCAATGGAATCCTTCAGATCAGGCTATGTCAGGAAGAGGACAGTAACAGGGAGCAGTAGCAGCAGACTGGAGTCTGGGAAGCCTAACAAAAGCCAGGGTCTATCGTTTGTGCCTCTACTGAGCTGGCACCAGCCGCCCAGGCAACGGGACTAAAGTTCTGTGACGCATCAGGAGTCACAAAGGGAGTTGAGGTCCTTGCCACCAGCCGCTACTCCAGTAAAGTCAGCCAGAAGATGTTCAGCACTTGGTACCTGGTACTGCACTGACCTTTGGTGTAAATACAGGGCTACTCCTTCCTCATTGTCCTTTAGACCCCACATCAATGTCCCATGGGATCACTCAGTGAAATTTGGTTTTCTCAACGTATCTGAGTGGTCACAGTACAAAGTCATCATAATAATTCAATAAGAAAGAATAAAAGCAAAATGCATCCAGTAGTTAAATCGTAAATTTACAGAGAACAACAAAATAAACTTAATGAAAGTAAAAGGGAAGAGCTAATACAGACCAAAGCAAAACTTAATAAATTAGGAAATGAAGACTCAATAGGCTTATTAAGCAAAGTCAAGTGCTTATTTGTATAAAGTAAGAAATCCTGTGGCTGCTTATAAAACAAAAGGGCTCTCACAAATTACTGAAAATAAGAAACAGCACATATTCCTAGAAAGAGTAATTTTTAAAATGAAGACAGCAATAAATGATTGGAAATTGAAATAGATAAATGCTAGTTCTAAAACCATAATAAACTTAATAATCAGGTAGATATTTCAATACATGCTCACTCAAAGTCAAAAGTCACCCTGAAATCAATACCACTATCATGATGAGGAAGCTATACAATGTTCATGAATCAGACGACTCAATATTAAGATCTTAAATGTCCCCCCAAATGATCTAAAGTAACTCAAATCAGGGCTGGAGAGATGGCTGGAAGATTAAGAGCATATGCTGTCATTGCAGAGGATCTCAGATCAGTTGCCACCCAGGGGGTCCAATACCCTTTTCTGCCCCAAAGGCATTGCACTCATGTGCCCACACCCACAGAGATACATATACATGCCTATAATTATTTTTTCTTAAAATAAGCTAGGTGTGGTATGCACACCTTTAATCCCAGCACTCGGGAGGCAGATCTCTGAGTTGAAGGCCACCCTTAACTCAGAGTGAGTTCCAGGACAGCCAGAGCTATACAGAGAAACCCTGTCTTGAAATCTCCTTCAACAAAAAGATTTTTTTCTGTCTTAAAATAACTAGAAATCTCAGCTGGGTATTTGGGAGGGCATGAAGAAGAGATAGTAGAAACTGACTAGTGAATTTTAAAATTTTTATGGGGAAAAAAACCCAAACAATGACAATATCCAAAGCAATCTTTTAAAAACACATTAATGCCAGGGGACTGGGTGATTTGGTTTTATGGCTGAAAAAATAGTAAGAATTGAGCCTGTGTGGGATGGCGTGGAAAAAAGAAATGTGTTGATCAATGGAATGAGCGCTGCCAGATGACTTCTCACAAAGGCACCAAGGACATGATACTCTCAGCACTAGGTAGGACCATGGGATGTCTTTAAGCAAAAACATCAAGCCTTTATTCCTAACTCAAACAATAAAGAATTAGCATGGACCCAAACATAGACTCACATGTAAGTGACATTATCCTAAAGCTTCTAAAAGAGAATACAAAATATTTGAGACATTGCATCAGGAAGGCTTCTTAGGTCACAAAAAAGCAAAAGTATAAAAAGAAAATTGGAATCAAGCAAAATGAAACATCTTGCTATTTGGAAAACATTTTAAGGAACTCAAAAGACAAGCTATAGCAGATGTCCTGCTAGGCCACATAAGGGATTCTTTCCTAACAAGGCAAAGACTGTGGAAATAGATACATTGTTTGAATAAACACAGCCCAAATTATACTATTTGTGAAGAGGGGTGTGCACGGTTGCTCAAATAATCAGAAATCAGGAACATGCAAATTAAAACCACAATGAGATATTACTATATGAATACTAGAACAGCTAAAATTAAGAAGTGTAGCCAGTGGGAGCAAGAACATGGACAGAGCGCAGCCCCCACTCTGAGCATGGGCATGTACCAGACAATGTCAGAGTCATTTTGGAAAAATCAAGTTTCTCATAATTTTTTTTTTATGGTTTCCATTCTGTCCCTAAGTGACAAATTATTCATACTAAGACAAATACACAGTATGTCCACATATAACATGTATTCAGACAGTTTTGTTTGTAACAGTCCTGGATTCATTTCCCAATGCCATTATATATTAATATGACCAAAACTTGGTGGCTTTATTCTCTCACAATTTAGGAGATCAGAAGTCCAACCCCCTTCTGTGGCTGAAACGAAGGTGTTGGTGTGATGAGTCTGTGTGGACACTCTAGGTAGCAGCTTAGTACTTCTCTTCCAGCCTCCAGTGCTGCCAGCATCCTAATGGAGTGTGGCTGCATCACTTCATCTCTTTTGGACTCCTCTCTGCTGTGTCTTCAGGCCTCCTTTTTCTCTATGTGTCAACTCCTCCCTGTCTTCCTCTTTCTTACAAGGGTAAATGAGGTTGCACATAGTGCCCGACCCGTAGTCCAGGGTACCCTACCCCTCATCTCAAGGTCTGTGGCTTAACCCACTCTGTGAAATTTTTCTGTAGTAACATTTACAGGTTGTGGGGATTAGTATCAATATTTTTGGAGGAGTGATTTTGTTTTTGAGCTGATCTTTTGCAAGAGCAACAAGTGCTCTTAACGGCTGAGCCATCTCTCCAGCACCAAGAATATGTTCTTAATTTATTTAATGAAATTGATTTAGTGCCACATAAAATTTTGACAAAATAGTATAAAAAAGGAAACAAACAAACAAACAAAAGGTACTCATGAGTGGGCCATGGGACTATTCCAGAAAGTAAAGGGAGGTTTGGGAAACTAAGAGAAAGAGTAGAGAGCTGAGAATAGAGTTCAGAAATATATCAGTTGCCTAGCATATGTGAGATACTGGGTTCAAGTTCCAACACCACACTGGAAAAAAATAAGGAAAGTGAGGGAGGAGGAAAGAAGGGAGAAAGAAGGAAAGAGGAAGGGAGAAAGGCAAAGATGGATGTGGGGAAGATGGGAAGAAGAAAGAGAAAGGGAAAAAGGAAGAAAGCTGAGCACCATCATATACACTGGTTTTCTAGGTACTTAGGAGGATGAGGCAGGAGGATTACCTGAGCCCAAGAGTTTGAAACCTGCCGGAGGAACAAAGTAGATCTGTTTTTTTTGTTTGTTTGTTTTGTTTTTGTTTTTGTTTTTGTTTTTGTTTTTGAGCAATGAAAAACAAAATGGAGGGAAGGCATGTCAACAAGTGGTACCCAAACACAAAGACTTCCTGTGTGTGATGGGTTGTGAACTTGAAATATCTGAGAAGATGCAAGCTCCCTTGAGGAATTGTCTCCATCGGATTGGCCCTAATGACCTGTATTTGCATATTGGTTCTGAGCAACCAGGTACTGAGGTAGTTGTCTCTGAGACTGGGTTCCAGCCCCAACACCACATGAAGAAGGACGAGGAGGACGAGGAGGATGAGGAGGAGGAGGAGGAGGAGGAGGAGGAGGTGGAGGAGGTGGAGGAGGAG